TTGGTGCTACTAGCTCCATCTAGTAGCTGAAGATGAGATTTATGTCTATAGAGCAATGGTCTCCAAACTGCGGCCAAGGGGCCAGATGCAGCCCTTTGCTTGCCTTTATCCAGATCTTGGGGCATTATTCCCCCCCACCCCACACACACACACACACACTATCAGAAACAGTGCGGCACTATTCCTCCCACTGACACCAATGATGGGCCACTATTCCTCCCATTGACACCAACAATGGGACACTATTTTTTCCACTGAAACCAATAATTGGGCACTATTTCTCCCATTGATACCAACAAAGGAGCACCATTACTCCCCATAATACCAATTTTGGGGCATTGTTTACTCTGACTGATGCAGGACATTTTCTTCTTCCACTGGCCACAGTCCGCCCCCCCTAAAGTTTGAAGGACAGTAAACTGGCCCTTTGATTAAAAAGTTTGGAACCTCCTGCTATAGATAACCAAAGGATGTCTGTTTTATCCATTCTATTCTAGAAATAAAGTTGAGTGCCTGGGTCCCCACTGCACTCAGTGAATCCCTCCTGCTGACCTTTATGTCACTATTGTGTCTTGTACTGACATAGAGGTTGGTGAGAGAATCCACTGAGCACAGAGAGTGACACAGAAGATCGACATTCCTGGAAATGTCAGTCTCTTCAAAGACATTAGAGGACATTGGATGTATTGCTAAGGAGAGTACTGGGATTTCTTTAGGAGATTCCTGTAAGCATTGCACATATGTAGCACCCTCCTAGATAGGCACTAGGTTTAGATAAGATTAAGTATGTGTTTTAGTTGTCAAATTGTAGTCCGTGTGGTTTTGATTGTTGTTAGGTAAAAGCATAACTTGCACACTGTAATCAGTGTTCCTGTGATCTGCTAGTTAGGTCTGCTCAGTGTGTTCAACTACTGCCAGCCTGATAGCTCCCTCTGCGTCCAGAAAGCTTGAGAAGTTTCTGGATGATAGGTGTGGAGTTATGCAGATGGCAGCATGAATATTGATACAGCCCTGGCCTATCCCAGAGAGAGAGACTCTGATGGCATGCTGGGTATCTGTATTTATTCAGTGAGCACACTGACTTCTGGGTCTTTTCCTGTATAGCTTTGGTCCAGCCTGGAAGGGGCATGCTGCCCTCCCAGGCAATGCTGCTGCATCTGCTGTCGTAGACCTCAGGTGGGCAGCCTGAGGGCCTGAATACTGAGAGCCAGGTTCTGTTAAGAGCTGACTGAGGGGCTGTCTCCTGAAAATCTGGTCTGGTATCATGGAGGAAAGCAACCAGCTGTCCTTGGGCCTTGTGAGTACAGACACTTCTGAAAGGATCTTAAAGACTTTGTGCTGCTAAAACCCCTCTGGCTCTTGGGAGTCCGCTGTAGGTCTAGTTAAAGGGAACACTGGCTGGTGTCCTGAAGAGCTTTGTCCATCTAATCTACTTCTTAAAAAGGACTCTGCTCTGGTGGCTCAAAGAAGGAGATTGACAGTTAAACTACTGCTACTACTACCTTAAAGTTTAAGTCTACTGTTTGCTACAAGCACGGAATTTAATATAGCCTCACATTGTACATAGTTCATGTTTTTGGAGCATCCCACCAAATTCCCTCAACCCTATCCAAGTTTTTCAAAATGAAAAAATAACAAAAAACAAGACTAGTCAAGACCTAGACTAGTCAAAGAAATGTGTCAATGAGCCTATGTGCCTGGCTGCGGGGCAAAGGTTTTGGGGAGGACCTGGACAATATTCCTGCGGCTCCTAAAGGAACATTCACAGACATACGATCAACAGTAAAAAATAAAATGTCCACCTCAAACATTCATATAGCATAACCGGAAAGAAATACTGTACCTGCATGCACAGTTCATCCACTTAAAGCACACTTACTTACATAGACAGAAGAAATATATATCAATATATGACTGCTTTCTTCTTCATCCTATGCTGTTTAATATTCTTACAGCTTGTCTATTTATTTTTAATCCTTTTGGTTCCAGGGATTTTACAAACCTAAATGTATTTCTCTGCAAAGCATATTTCACAGGGTAATCTTTGCTCTTGAGGCTTTTTTAATAATGATTATTGTTGAAGAAACTGAATCATAGAGATATGGTAACTAGGCAACATTATCTTTTGGACACACTATATAATGCTGCAAGTGACAGCTTTAAAAAGCTCTGGAACCTTTCTATAGGCAACATGCATTTCAGGCTCATATGCACTTTCTAAATATAGGATCCATTATTGTTAGCGTGATGTTCAAGGTAGCGTGGTCTATATATGTTCACTGCATGCAGAAAGCAATGACATACTGTATGTGTAAGTACAAGCTGCTTGTATTATTTGGATGGTATATTACTTCTGCTGCTAGCATCTCATCAGTAGAAGACTAATAGGAATTCTGGGAGCGTACTGTGTGCCTGTGCTGATTCACTGACTGCTACCAGACTAATTATTATTGTTAAGGATCTGGTCATTAATTCTGACACAGCAACTGTTACACTTCTCAGTAGACATTAGACATTTATATGCTTTTTGTTGGCAGTTGAAATATGTTTTCTCTTCCCCAAAAACAAGTGATGGCACTGGTAGTTACATACATTTCACTATAATTTCAACTCTGCATTTAGTTAGTAACCTATAGCAGTGGTCTCCAAACTGTGGCCCGAGGGCCAGATGAGGCCCTTTGCTTGCCTTTATCCGGCCCTTGGGACACTATTCTTTCCACGTGGTTTTTTGAGGGGTTTTTTTTGGGTTTTGTACATCATAACTGCATACCATAACAGCTCTTGCACTCTTTTCTGTCCAAATAAATACAGGTGTGCTGCTATGTCAGATTCATTAATATGTGGCATTAAAGGTCAAAACTGAGACTGCATGTCCTGCTTTCTGGGCAACCGGGAAGGTGAGCAATATGGATGTCTACTATTTTAACATTTTCCCCAGTGGCAAAAATGCCTATATCCTATTTCCATTTTCCTGATCCATGGAAATGCCCTTTAGTAAGAGCCCTTTAAAAAAAAATTTTGTTATATATAATATAAAACGCTTTAAATTGTGACCTTCTACAGCGAACGTGAAGGGCTGCTAAGTCTTCTGGGTAACTAACTTTAAAATGGTTGTAAAGGCTCAAGGTCCTTTACCTTCATACATTCTATGCATGAAGGTAATAAACTTTGTGTTTGCAGCAGCCCCCCCCTAATACGTGAGCCCCATCGCAATCTAGCAATGTGCACGAGAGCCTCGGCTCTCCAGGGACTCTTCTTCTAAATGGCCATTGGCTCCCGCTGCTGTCAATCACAGTCAGTGAGCCAATGAGAAAAGGAGGGAGCAGGGCTGACTCACGGCTGAGTGTGTGAATAGACATGGCTCAGGAGTGAGCCTGCTCGGGTGCCCCTATAGCAAGCTATTTGCTCTGGGTGGACTTGGCAAGAAGAAGGGGCCAGGAGGGAGTGGAACCCAAGAAGAGGAGGATTGGAGCTGCTCTATGCAAAACCACTGTACAGAGCAGGTACAAGTATGACGTTTGTTATTTATTTAAGTTTTTAAATTGCCTTTAATATCACTCTAAGGAGACTGCAATTTACAATCTGATCATACAGTTTCTGTATAATCTTTTTTAGATATGCCAATAAATATGTATTGTGAGGGCTTACCATAGAGGAAAGCTGTACTTTAGCATATTCCCCTCCCAACTGTGCAGCCTCCAAGAAGCTGCCATTGAAGTGATTTGTAATACTTTTTTTTTAAATAAATAAAAAAAACAAGTCATATTTACCTGCTCTGAGCAATGGTTTTGCATAGAGCAACCCTGATCCTGCTCTTCTTGGGTACCCTGCTGGCACTACTGGCTCTTCAACAACCCCACCCTTGCTGAGTGCCCACCATAGCAAGACACTTGCTATGGGGGCACACGTGCAGGCTTGCTCTTGCTCCTGAGCCAGATCTGTGTGTCCATAGACACACAGAGCGTGGCTCAGCACTGCTCCCTCCTTATTGGCTGTGACTGACAGCAGCAGGACTAAGGGTTGGGGTAGAGAAAACAGTAAAAAAAAACCTTCAGCCTGTAGAACTACTTTAAAAAGAACTCCATTATGGTTTATATGCATGCTTTGACAAATTCCATTCTCATCTATGGAGAGGTTGTCTGTTATGTATCTGATTCAGTGCCTGTGCAGCTGCCAACTGAATGTCCAACAGAGAATGAGCTGAAGCTAGGGTGGCTGAGTGTAAGACTTCCCTATCAGTTCATATCTAGTTAAACAGGCCTTTGTACCACATACTAAATCTAAAAGCCTATGTTAATGAGCTTTTGTTTGCATCCAAACTGCTCACCTGCCCATACATGTCAATAGAAATGCAAAAGCAGATTGAAGCAGATTTATGCAGTGTTAAATGAGGCTAAATAAGTGTAAATACACCCAAATGCGGGAGTATTCACAGGAGAGGCCAAATGCGGGTTGAATACACCCCAAAGGCAAGCTACATTTGCACAAGAGATTCTACAAACTGTAAATCTAATATATACAGTGCTCACCGTAAATGAGTACACCCCTTTTGAAAAGTAAGATTTTAATCAATGTTTCAATGAACACAAGAACAATTTCTACAATTTTGACAAAACTGAGTTTTATAGAGTATTTGTTTAGCTCATTACATGAACGTAAGGTTAATAATCTAACTTAGATTACAAAATCTTCAATTTTACTCAGATTAGTTGATGCAGAAATGAATACACCCCACAACAAAAGCTACTCCAGCTAGTATTTTGTATGACCTCCATGATTTGTAAAGACAGCACAAAGTCTTCTAGGCATGGAATGAACAAGTTGGCGACATATTGCAAAATCTATCTGTTTCCATTCTTCAAAAATGACCTCTTTTAGAGCCTGGATGCTGGATGGAGAGTGATGCTCAACTTGTCTCTTCAGAATTCTTCATAGGGGCTCCAGTGCGTTCAGATCAGGAGACATACTTGGCCACTGAATCACTTTCACCATGTTCTTCTTCAGAAATGCAACAGTGGCCTTAGATATATCATTGTCATGTTGGAAAAGTGCACAACGACCAAGGGCACAGAGTGATGGTATCATCTTCTCTTTCGATATAGAGCAGTATGTCTGTGAATTCTTGATACCATCAATGAAATGCACCTCCCCAACACTAGCAGCACTCATGCAGCCCCACAAAAGAACACTGCCACCACCATGTTCCACTGTAGGCACCATGCATTTTTCTTTGTACGCCTCACCTTTGTGACACCATACAGTTTTGAAGCCATCCATTCCAAAAACATCTATCTTGGTCTCATTACTGCAGAGTACAAAGTCCCAGTAGTCTTATTCTTTTTGAGCATGGGCCCTGGTAAATTCTAGCTGGGCTTTTTGTACATTGGCTTTAGGAGAGGCTTCCTTCCTGGACAACACCCATACATGCCATTCTTCTGCATTGTGTCACAGGAAACAATCACCCAATTAGTTTGGCTTTCTACTTCTTTAGCTAACTGCAGTGAACTTGCATGGCAATTTTCTTCAACCCTTCTCAACAGTAGACGCTCCTGTCGAAGTGTTAACTTCCGTGGAAGGCCTGGACGTCTCTGTGAGATGGTTGCAGTTCCATATTTGTAAAATGTTTGTATCACTTTTGCTACAGTATTCTGACTGATAAGTAAAACTTTGGTGATCTTCTTGTAGCCTTCACCTTTCTTGTGTAAAGAAATTATTTTCTCTCAGGCCTTGTGACATTTCTCTTTTATGTGGTGCCATTGCTGACAGCTTGAAATGGGAAGGGGTTTCCTTTGTTAAGTAATGCTCTTTTATAATCAACTGTCTGCTGGACACCTGTTTAATTAATAATTAGACTCATCTTTAGTTGAATTCTTGTTAATTAGGATTTTGTTGTCTAAAATTTAGCTCCTAAGACTTACGTTGGGGTCTATTCAACATGGTCCTAAATTATTTGTTAGGAAAAATACTTTTTTGTGTGTGCAAATTAACAAATCTTGTTTGCAGTCAATGGCTCACATTTGTGGGGAGTATTTTGTAGTATAGTGTCCCATAGGAAATGTTGATTCTGAAAGGTAGGTAAAGGTTTTTTGACAAATCTGTTGGGGGTGTACTCGTTTATGCTGAACATTATACATGCCAAAGCTTTGTGGGCAGAAGTCTCACCTTTTTTTCAGTCTTCCATTCCTGATCTACAAGCTAACCTCTTTGTGCTGTCATTTTCAGAGCATCAAGCGATATTAAAACCCCCCAAAAATTTAATATATATTGCTGGTTACCAATCCTTAAATGTGAGAGCCACGTTAGTGTTCTTTTTAGGCTTTTTTCACTTAATTTTCACAGGTTGATTTGGCCAGGAACACACTTCCTGTATTAGGCTGTCTCCTCTCTGGATTGAGGAGCAACAGTGCACCTTTGAAAAGCAACATTGTCAATCTGGGGAGAGGGTAGTGTTAGTTTAGTTGCACTAGCAGATTTAGATGGAATTAACTAACAAATTAAAGCATAACTTCAGGTAACATGTTTTATGCAGCAACAGATACACTTTATTTGTTTCCATTTGGGATAACAGTTTCACATAAATGAATAAAAGTGTACCATTGTAAGCACCCCTGCCAGTGTTAAATAGTTTGTCTCAATCTTCTAACTGCCACTTTTGTTGGACAGTTTGTTCTGTTACAAAAAATTTAAATAATCACAGACTTGCTGTCCAAATCACCAGGTGAAAAAGACTACAAAAACAAAAGAATGCAACCACCACATCTAGACTGGTAAGCTGCAATATTTTACATTTTTGTTGTTGGGTTTAATATTGCTCTAAGTTCTCTGTACATTGAGCTCGACAAAGATGGATCCAGACAATTTAACAATGGACCCAACAATTTAACAAATTAAAAAAAAAGAGTTACATTCCCGGCATGCTGGGAATGCTAACTGTCACATTTGTTTGTGCTCTCAACCAAACTGTCAAACCATCAAATGGCTGGAGTCATCACTGATCACATGCGCAGCACCATGGCAGTTGCAGATCAAATTGGGGCTAACATGGCAGCTTCTTTGACTGAAAATGATAGAAGGGTTTAGTTCCACTTTAACAAAAAGTTACGTTATTTTAAATCCAGGCAGCTGGCTGACTAATGGCAAAGCCTCATATAAATTATCATTATGGCAATAAATGGAATACTTAAAAAGAGGGGTTTAAAGACAATGAGGTACTTCATGAACCTAACATGATCACTACCATACTATGAAAATTATGAGAACCCACTAAATAATCTACCATGACCTCATCACAAAAATTATTATCTTTCAGTTTAATACCTGAACACATCTCTCAAGATTAAAGCGGAGCTTCAGTCAAAAAAAAAAATTCAGACAGCTCGTGTCTTCATAGCCAGCTACCCACTGCGCATGCTCGAGTAGCTCTGCGCCCTGTGAATGGTCCTGTACTCTTCTGGGACATGTGACATGTCCCAACTTCAGCTTCCGATCGCCTAGGCAATCACAGCAGAAGTGGGAGCGAGTACATGTCAAAATCGGGTATCCGCTCCCCCCCCCCCCCCCGAGAGGTGCCTATTCCTCATAGGGAGCAGGGGACCAGTACTTAAAGCGGAACTTCCCCTTTTGGTTGGAGCTCCACTTTAATGATGCCTTTGCAATGACAGAACCTGCAAATCTCTGCTGACAGAGATACAAATGTAGGTGCACCTCTACAGGACCTCTCTATATACTACAGTCCTAACTCTAAAATTTCTACAGTCTCCATAGTAGGAGCACAAATAACAATGGATAGGTTAAGGGCAGGTATGCCTGGAGAGAGCCCACCCCTTCTAAAGACACAGGGACACACATGATGACCAGCAAAAGCACAAAGGCAGCGAAGGCATCCAGTGCGTCCCTGCACCCAATTCAAGCAATTGTACAAAGAAAATGGAAACCACCCCAACCTATGACTAGCCTTTGCAGCAAGGAGCATATGCAAGGAGCATATGGAAGGACAACACACAACTCAAACAAACAAAGGATTTCCCAGCATACTTACCAGCCAGCCTGCAAAACAACCAAATTGACCTAACAGTTTACATTAAAAACAGAGGTTTTTGTTTGCACACATTTGCAAATATATACATAAGCCACAGTGCCCACAACAAGGGACCTCTGTATATACCGCAGTCCTATCTCTACAATTTCCAGAGTCTCCATAGTAGGAGCAAATATAACAATGGATAGGTTAAAGCGGAGTTCCACTCACCCTGAAAAAAATAAAAGTCAGCAGCTACAAAAACTGTAGCTGCTGACTTTTAAAAAACAGCCACTTACCTGTCCCTCGGTCCCACGTTGTGTTCCCTGCAGCCCGTTTCACTGGCCGTTATGTATTGCAGGAGGCCGGTACCTTCAGTGTGGGCACCTGGCTGTGATAGCTTGTAACTTCACAGCCAGGTGCCCACTGCACATGCGAGAGTAGCGCTGCGCTTCATGAATGGTCCTGTAGTCTTCTGGGACCTGTCACGTCCTGACCGTAAGTGGGAGCGGCGGGTACCTGTCAAATTTGGGTACCACTTCCCCACTGCCCCCTAAAGGTGCCAATCCTTAATGGGGAGTGAGGGAGCAGTCCTTAAAGTGGAACTTCCTCTTTTGGGTGGAGCTCCGCTTTAAGGGCAAGCGTGCCTGGAGGGAGTCCACCCCTTCTTAAAGGCACAGGGATGCACGTGACACCAAGCAAAAGCACAATGGTAGCGAAGATATCCAGTGCATCCCTGCACCACCCAGTTCAACCAACTGAACAAAAAATGGTAACCACCCCAACCTATAATTAGCCCATGTGCTCCTAGTATGTTAGCTTTGGGAACACAGTATGTACAGAGGTCCCTTGTCGTGGGCACTGCGGCTTATGCATATATTTGCAAATGTGTGCAAACAAAACCCTCTGTTTTTAACAGGAACAGTTTGACAGAGGAATTTGGTTGTTTTGCAGGTTGGCTGGTAAGTGTGCTGGGAAATCTTTTGTTTGTTTATGATGTACGTTGCCCTTCCTTGAACACCTTGCTGCAAAGGCTAGTAATAGGTTGGTATGGTTGCAATTTTTTTTTGTACAATGACTATAATAGTGATTTTGAGCTTCAACAGCACATATGAAATATGCATATTTACATTAGTCCATGCTGGACCAATGTAACTATGCACTAAAACCTATACCTTGGTCAGACCTTTTTTCCCTCTTTTTAGAGGTTATACACATATAAAATACTGCTTAGATATCAACTAAAGGGGTATAAGAAACTTCACCTTGCAAAATGATCCTACCATGAGTGTAAAGTGTAAACGTGACGTGGTGTATAATTAATCAATTATAGCACTGGACAAATGGATATTTTATTTGATATCTCCCATTTTTGCTTCATTAATGACCCCAACAGTGTTGTAAAAGGTTACAGTTCCACACAACAGCGTCTTCCATATTTGATGTAAAATTAATTATAGAAGCTCCCTTGGACAGCAGCACAGCATGTTGTTCAGTGTTCTTTTCTTTATACATCTCACTGCCCTTATATTGTAACTTTCTATATTTGACTTTGAGCCACAAAGTATTGCAACAATTGAGGTTGAGCATGTACGGCTTTTTTAAAGCTGAATTAAAAGTTTTTTCTTTTACAGTATTGTTTTTATTGATATTTTTAACAAGTAAATGTAAACATATATTTTCTTAAAAATTCTGTTTCTATTGTGCCCTCGATAAGCATAAGTCTCTGCAATCTGGATACATTTTTGTAACCCACTCCCCCCTCACACCCCCCCCCCCCCCCATCCCCCCATCCTCACAAAGAGTATCATGGGTATCCTGACAATGTGAGTCATATCAATGCACATCCCTTGTGGGACACCTTTCTATTTTGGACATAGCAGTTTACAATTTTTGCGGTTTTATAACCAAAATATATATGTAAAAAAATAGAGAGGATAGAGAGGAGTTAGTAAAGAAAAAAATAGGAACAATCAAAGCAAAACAGACTTCAACACACCATCTGTCCCACAAGCCTAGAGCATAAATCTACATTTTTCCAGTGATATACTTTATCCATGGGTCCAATGTGTTTTCAAATAAATTCATCTTATCGCTCAATGTGGCCAAGAGTTTTTCATTTACCATTCACCATAAAAGTTTGGTATCTACTAGTGCAAAAAGGATGAATGAACACTTCCAGGACCTGGTGAATGCTATCCTCAAGGCTATGAAATTTGTCTTTAAATATGGCCTGGTGCCCCCTCAATTGGTTGATTTAGTAGGGCTTGTAAGGGTGATTTTCTGAGATTGGTCTGGTAGTATATAAAATTGTGTATGTGGATCCAGAATCTCT